CATAATAAAAAAACTAATAAAAGGACAACATTACTACAACTGTAACTAAAACTATAAATAGATAACTAATACAAATCAAACTACATAAGTTCATCAGTAATCCTAAAAAAAGAACACTGAGCCAAACACACATGCTGAAATAACAACAACTTACTGACACATAGTAAGAAATAGATTATTAAAAAAAACTGAAACAGAAGTGGAAAGAGGAGAGATAAAAAGCGATACTTATGTCCTTTGCCGGTGTCCTGCCTGGTGGAGTCGCACGGTAGAGTCGATGGTCTTTACACTCTTCAGTCTTCCCACGACCACTTCCGCGGTAAACTAAGCTTCTTTTTAATTCATTTAACAAAACTCAAATTGAATTCAGCTGGACACACTTTCCTGTTTATCACAACAAATGGCCAAGCAAAGCGCACGACACTGACAAAGTACGCGATAAAGTACGAGACCAAACGCCATTTCAGCACATTTTCAGTAACACAATACACTACTGTTCAAAAGTTTGGGGTCTGTGAGATGTTTTTGAAAGACTTTTCTGCTCACCAGGGCTGCAATTATTTAAACAGTAAAAACAGTAATATTGTGAAATATTATTACAATTTCAAAAACCTGTTTTCTATTTCAGTATCTTTTCAAATGTAATTTATTCCTGTGATCAAAGCTATATTTTCAGCATCATGTTGCATCTTCAGACCTCCACCACCTGCTGAGTGAGTCTCATTTAACCCTCACATCAGTGCTATAATGATTTCTCAACAGTTTAGTGGCAGTACTAGTTCTAGCTGGACTAGAGGGGAAATCTTGAGTTGTGAAAGTTAGAGTATGTGTATATAGTACGTCAAAATCTTGTATTGCAGTTGAATGGTTACTGTAAACTTATTCGATTTTTTTTTTCTTAATTGTAGCGATTGTGCACTTGTAGTGAACTTCAAATCTTAAAAGTATATATTTAAAAAAAACTACTTGCAGATAATATAATATGAATAAAATGAAAGGCCAATTTAGTTTAGCTAATTACATTTAATATAAATGTAAATTATAATGCATTTTATTGTAATTTAATTTAACTGAAATTAAGAAAATATAACACTTATATACACTTGTTTATCCTTTTAAAATATATTATTTTCATAAGAAGTATTATTTTTCACAAGAGTTGCTATTTTTTTATATGCACTCTATCTGGCATAAGAATCCTACAGTGTGTGTTTATATCGGTAGGGATGTGGCGATGCTGGCCCGTGCTGCTGTCAGCGGCGATGAAAGTGCTCTAGACATGTTTAACTGGAAGAAGAGCAATAAAGGAGGGTTTGCGCTGGGATCACAGGAAGGAATGGCATTCTACATCAGTACAGCTGATGGTGAGAGGTGACAGGATGTTTAGCAATGATGTTCAGGTGCTGTGGGTTTGTTCTAACCGTGTTTGTGTGTGTTATTTAGGGAGCGTGTACAGCGTGGATGAGCAGGTGCGGAGTGTGCCGTTGCTGTCTGTTGAGAGTGCGGTACAGAAGATGTGGTACTCCAAGAGGAGGGCCGTTCTCGCCGTGGTAACAGACTCACTGCTGCTCTCTCACTTCAGTCTTGGACCGGAAGGAATCGCTCAGGAGATCAGTAAGGTAACAGATCAAACTTCATATGTCTGTCCAATTAGATATCAGAATACAGCCACAAAAACCAGACAAGTTCTTTATTTTTATCTTTTAATTTAATTTTAATTTTAAAGTTTTAGCAGTTCTGTGTTTTTGCATTTAAAATGTTTTGTTTTTAAAGTCTATATAGTTTTTATTTCAATTTTAGTACATCAAGAAATTTAGTAATTTAGTTGTTTTTACCTTAATTTGTTCACCTTTTTTCAATAAAATATAGAAGAAAAGAATATATTCCAAAGAACTACATATAACTTAATTATATGACACTGACACACTGAGGAAGGCTTTGAGCTGAAACGTTTGTCTTTTCCCATCACTAATGAATGTAAAATAAAAGAAAAAAGAAGATTGTTCTCGTGAGTGCGGATCATAATTTCCTATACTAAAGAACTACATATACACATAACAGACAGACATACAACGCTCACCAAATACAACTTATACTGCATTTATGAGTATTTAGATTTTGATCAGATTCTGCCATACAAAGTTATGTTAAGAGTTACATATCTGACACAGTTTATGGATTAAGAGTCAAAAATGGTCTAAGAGTCCTTTTTGGGGGGGCCTTCAAACTTATATAAATGGCATAACATATTAATATACATTGCTTTTATATTTGGTCTCATCCAGGAGAAAGGAGAGAAAAAAACAAAACATAGGTAACCGATTAAATCTTTTCTTTACTTCTCAACCACCTCCACCAGTATAATGAAATTCTAGTAGATATTTTTTTTAAAGGGGTCCTATTTTGCCTTTTCACTTTTTCAACTTTAGTTAGTCTGTAATGTTGCTGTTGAATAGGACCCCTTTAAGGAAAGGGTCAGCATTTCCATAATCTACACATCATTCACAATTTCTTGGCATTCACATACAAATGGAGGAAATTCTAATTTTTTTTTTGACATGTCTAAATAATTTACATGAATTTATTTTAGTTTTAGTTATTTTAGTACATCTAGTTAGACTAAATGAAAATGGGAAATTTTGCCTTGGCAACTAGCTGAAATAAAATTATTTTGAAAACTATTTTATTCTAGTTAACATTTATTATTATTATTTCAAGTAACAAAAAAGGTATGGTTTAGTTTTAGCTAACTATAATAACCCTGGTGTGTGTACAGGTGAAGCTCAGTGGCAGAGGTGGGCAGCACGCAGACATTGTGTGGACAGAAAATGGTTTGCTCATCACAGCATCAGGAGAACAACACATTAGGTTAACAACAAATTTTAGTCCTCTGTGTGTGTGTGTGTGTGGGTGTGGGTGTGTTTTTAAACCTTGTATATAAAAGTGTTGTATAGTTTCTCAGCAGTTGCTCTGAGATGTTGCATGTGTTTTGATGGTGGTGTGTGTGTTTGTATAGGTTGTGGGATGTGGAGCTAGATGATCATTACGCTCTGACGCTGGATGAGTCTCTGGGCTTTGAGAAAGGAGAACTGCTCAACTGTGTTTCCTTTTGCACTTCTAAACGTAAGATTTACATTGTTAAAAGTCTGTGCAACTCTGAACAATGTACACACTTACACAAATACTGCCTGAGTTTCTGTATTGTTTTCCGTTTGAAATAGTTTTAAAACACTACCATTTGGAATCACTACAATTTTTTTTGAAAGAAGCCTTTTATGATTACCAAGACTGTATTTATTTGAAGAACAGTTATTCCTGCATTCTAATATACTGCTTTGCTGCTTAAGAAACATTTCTGATTATTCTCAAAGTTGTGCTGCTTTATGTTTTTGTGGAAACTATGATACATTTTTTTCAGGATCTTTCTTTGTTCAAAAGAATAGCATTTATTTGAAACAGAAATCTTTTTTAACATTGTCCTTCCTGTCTCTCATTTAGCAAATTCTTATTAAAAAGACAAAAACAGCAAATAGGTTTGATTCCCAGAGCAATGCACATATTGATGAAATGTATATCTTGAATACAGTTTAGGTCATTTTATATGAAGGCATCTGCTAAAACACAAATGTACGTGATTTTACAAGTGTGATTTTGTTCAGAAGTAATCTGGATCTTCGTGTTTTCATCTGCAGAAGTTCTTGCAGCAGGTACCAGCAGAGGTCGTGTTGCTCTGTGGCACATGGTGACAGTGAGTGATCAGAAAGGAGACACAAAGATACACTGGAAACTCCAAACACCAGCAGAGGTGGAAGGAAACATCTCACAGCTACAAGTGAGCAGTGGATATTTTTATCCCATATTTAGGGATATTTACAACATTATGACATGTGATTGGTTATTGCAGACAGTAATTCTGATTCTTGCTTCAGTTTGTTGAACTCTGTCTCCCCGTGTCTGTCTGTGTGTCTGCAGTGGGGTTCGAGCTCTCATCTGTTGGCTGTCTGCAGCAGCAGCTGTGTGGTGATCCTGTCAGAGCATGTGATGTGTTCTCATTACAGCCAGCAGATGGCAGCAGTGCAGCTCACGCCAACACAGCTCAGCCTGGCCAACTTCAACACCAACACACACATCACCTTCCACACAGACACACACATCAGAGCCGTGCAAGTCACCAGGGTAAGACACATTTAATGTGGCACATTCACACAGCAGCATTTAACACACAACCCTTTTCTAGTTTCACCTCATTCTGCAAATGTACTGCAATGATTTTACCATAAACCCTCAAAGACAGCATCATTGTTCACAACATATGATGAATGTAGACTCAATATTTTTTTTATTGCCTCGTGACCAGAACCAGGGGAATTTATTTCCACAACTTTTACAGAAAAGAAGAGCAATGTTAAAACTGATTAATATTATTATAAAAAATGTCCAGTTGTGCTAAATTATTTACAAAATCATATATGTTATATATTATGTATTATTTATTTAAATATATGTTATATAATAATAATAACAACAATAGATTATTTTGTTAAATTATTTAATCACTGTGAAAAACGTGATTAAAAAAAATTTGAAAAAAAGAAAGGAAATTAACTGAGGCAATTAAAAAATAGCTAAATATCACACACACACACACACATATTTTTTATTTTATAGTAGTTCATAACAACATTTTGCTATATATTTAAATTGCCTAAGTTAATTTCTTTTTTTTCTAACATTTTAAAAGATTAAATACATGTTTTAAAATTTAGCAAAATTAAGTAATAATAAATCAATTTATATTTATTATGTAATTATAAAATATATATATTAAAATCTGCTAAATTAATAAAAATTGTAAATTTTTCTATGTTATTTTCGTATCTGTTTGTACAGGATATGGTGACGGTGGGGAACGGGAAATATATCACTGTGTACGAGCCATCAGGACAAACCCTACACAGCACAGGTACCATAAACACATGTAATATATTTCCAGACAACACATCATTAATAATGACTGATATGCAGGGCCACACAGAATCAGGACCTACCTATATGTCATGGCGTATAAGAGACACAGAGTCATTTCTGAATAGATTTTTATGTTTTCATCATCAGGTTCTTTCCAGTGTGAGTCTCCTGCTCTTGCGGTACATGAAGAAAACATTTATACCGTCGAACCAAACCGTGTCCAGATCCGCACGCCGCAGGTACACATACACAAACTCTAAACACATCCACGTTCTTTAACACATGAAAATACACATTTTACACAGTGACTGTTGACATTTCCAAGTTTGTGTTTTACAAGTGTATGTTTGTGTGTGTGAATGTCCAGGGCACTGTGAAGCAGTTGTTGGTGTTTTCTGAAGCGGAAGGAAACCCCACACTGCTGAGTGTGTGTGGATCTTACCTGGCCGTGGGAACAGATACGGGTCACGTCAGAGTCTTTGACCTCACACGCAGGTAAACACACACTAATCTACTCAAACGTGTGTAAATGTATATATGTGTGTATAATGCATGTGTGTTTGTGTGCACAGGGAGGCCAAAGCCATGGGTGTCATGAAGAACCTCTCTGAGCTCATTCCTGACCTGGGCGCTCTGAGATCAGTCAAATGCAATGCCAGCGGAAATCAGTTGAGCATCCTTATTACACAGGTAAAAAAAAAAAGACAGTTCTTAAAGGGACTTTGCTCTTTTGAAATAAGTTTGATGCATGGTAATGTTCATAATGCAAAAGCATCTTTCCTATTCGACCAAGATGAAATATTAAAACTGAACTGCAGGAATGCAGCAGGAGGAAAATGGTCATTAAAAACCCAATTATGACTTGCAAATTGTGATTTGGATCCCTTATTTTAAATTTTTTTACAAATATTTATTGAAAAGAAGAAAAATAACAACAAAATTATAAGGCATCACAAAATATAACAAAACAGTAACAATCTGTTATCTGTTATGTGTATATATATATATATATATATATATATAGCAGATATAACAGATAAATGTTTTTTGTGCATCGTAGGTGAACGGGCGACCGGATAACAAAGTGTATTTCTATGACATCGAGCTGGACACGCTGTCTTACTTCAACTTCTTCACAGGGAGGCCAGAGAGCAGTCTCGCACAGTCTGAGGACAGTCAAAGGTGCCTGTGTTTGTGTTGGTGTGGTCTTACAGGAACAGAGATAAAGATAATAGACATTCTTTGATCAAAATTGTATTTGAATTTAAGAACTCGATGTGAGGGGGAGTTGGCCGCCCGCTGCCCTGTTTCTCAGTTCTGGGACGAGAACGAGTCTCGTCTGTTTGTGTGTGAAACAGTTCCCGTGAACTCTGACCTCCACTGCAGCAGCCAATCACAAATAGAGAAGGTAAAACACAACCTAATGAATATGAAATTAATTCATTTTTTTATATTTATTTTATTTTACATATGTTCATATTTTTATTTCATAAATCATATTTAAGTAATTATAAATTAGGTATGATTTAAAAGCTTGCCTTAAACACTAATAATCCATCACCCTTTTTTTTTTTTTGGTCTAGTGCCTAAATAAAATCTCATAGGAACCTAATTTTTTTGTGATGTCAACCTCAAATTTGGAGCAGTTGATTCAAACTTGATTTGAACTTAAGCTTCTCTAACTTTTGTATTTTTTTATTTGTAACAAATTTCAGTCCCAAGAGTGTATGTGAGATATGGAAAAGTGGCTAAATAATTTACAAAAGGATTTGCGAGACAAATCTTACTCAAATACTGAAAAAAAAAACTGCATAGCATCATATTTAGTAACATAACATCATATGTTTTTTTTTTCTTTGTTGTTTTGTCTTTTTAAAATGTTTTTTTAAATCAGTTTATACCTGGTTCAGAACAGACACAAATGCAAAAAATATAACATTTTGATGAAATTGTCTCTCTCTTAGAAGTCTTTAAAAAAGCTGGAAAAATTAAATGATGGTTATTTTTATAGTCTTGGCTCAGTTTGTTTTCCATACTAAAAACTATGCATTTTATTTTTGACATTTTTATGTATCTCTTCCAGGTCAAAATAGACCCGAATCCATTAATTGAGTTAAAGTGTATAAAAAGGTTTTTGTCTTTCCTGGCAGGAGGATGTGTTGGTGGTGACGTTCTTTGTGACACAGGAACATGGTCTCCTCCTGCAGGACTCACAGCCTAAACCTGCTACGCTGCTCTCTCTACTGGCTTTAGATACACCGTATTACTATTATATTTGCAAGGTACAGACAAAGAAGATACAGACACCCTTCATTACCCTTTCTCCATGCTTTTCTGTCATTCTGTATGCATCTCCATTTCTCACCCTTTTACTGTATTTTTTCTGAATGCATTGTTTTATTTTTCTCATTCTTATTCTATTCTGATTGTTCTGCCACTGCTAAGCTCTTATTTCGGAGGGGAGGCCTCGTTCTCCCTGATGTGAGTACCTCACAATTACCCAGCAGTCATTTGGGAGAAGAATCATCACACATCACTCTTCCTCTTTTCATTCATATCTTTGAATTTGTTTCAGTAATCTACAAAGAGTCTGCGTTTTGATAAAGGTGTATCTTTAAAAAATGGTCTCTCTGTCCTCTCAGCTGGGTGAGGGTGGAGATCAGGTGGTCTCGACTCCCTCCGCCGCACCCCAGGTGCCTTCGTCCCCTCAGATGGTGATACGGCGAGCCCTCCGAGACTTTGTGGGGTTAGAGAGCTGCGAGAAACAGACCCGAGACGCCATGCTGAACTTCAGCTTCTACCTCACTATAGGGGACATGGACGAAGCATTTAAAGCCATCAAACTCATCAAGAGGTACAAACACATGTTCAACACTCATGCAATCACATCTTACCAGAGCGATGAGGTTCATAATAAGTGAATGTGCAAGTCAGAAATTAGATTGGTAGAACATTTGAAAGTGTTTTTACGGTTACTTTTTGCATTCAGCTGCACTGCTTTTTGATTGTTTTTCTGTCTGAACATGCACTAGACGGTCGTCTTTGACCATTCTGCTGTGGCTTGCTGCTTTTTCAGCATCTTGTGCATGATTACTGCATTTTTTTGGTACTGTGTCAGGTTAAAAGTAGTTTTTCCTAGTGAAAATGAGTTCTGTGTGAATGACCCCTTCAGATGTCAACACTTATTTTCTGTGCTTGCGTATCAAAGACTAGATAAGTGTATAGTTTGTGCCTCCATAGACAGCCTCCATAGACAGCATTTTTGAGAATCCTCCTAGGTGTTTAAGCATGAATCTACTGGGCAAAAAACTATTGTAGTGATCGATATATAGATATATATATATATATAGAGCAGGATGATCGATTGCTGATTACTCAAAAATGATGTTATTGTTAACTAAAACTATTAAAAATAGTTTATTGAAATTAAGTTGAAATAAAATATAAATAAATTAGAAATTCAGCCCTGGCCGCTAACTGAAATAAAATATTTTGAAGGTAAAATACTAAAATGAGTAAAAACAAATATCAAGAAAAACTAAATAGAAATATAAAAAAATTACAAAAGCACAACAAAATTTTTAAAACTTAAATGAAAATAAAAATAGAAAAATAAAAGCTATAAATAATACTAAAATAAAGCTGGTTAAAATTCATAAAACTATTTGAAAATGTTCGCATAGAAAGCTAATTGGCTGTTACTGATCAAGTGCTATTTTAGTATTATTTGTATACTTCTATAGTATTTATTAATATTGTAAATTATCATTTTTGTTGTATTTTTTGGGGTGGGGGGTTGTTTCATTGTTATTATTTTCTATATTAGTTTTTATTTTAGTTTTAGTAATATGAGTACTTCAGCCTAAACTTATTTTATTTCAGTTAGATGCCATGCAACATTTCTAAGTTTTCTAAGTTTTTTTTTAATCTAATATTTATCTTTTATTTATATATTTGTATATTCTTTTGCAGTTTTTAATCGTTTTTGTTTTAGTTAACAATAACAGCACTGTACGGATCGTCTTAAAATGATCCTCTCGAAATACTGGTCCATGGCTCGCAAAATCGCTAGCCCGACGTCCCGGGGCTATTGTGTTTTCCAGTCGGGCTTCCAAAATATATCACCGCCCTGCCCGATGGGCTATCTTGAACAGTAATATAAAATTTCTTCCTTGATTTGTGTTGTTCACTAGCTTGTAGGGGTAAAACGGATCATACTTGATCATTTGCACGTGTTTCTAAGTCTTGCACTTTCTAAGTCTTGCACATTCAAGTGTTTTAAACAATTCACGGGCATTATGTGCTGCGCGCACTCATTCAAAGAGAACTCTAATTCACAGAGAGCCGCGTTATACAGTCTGTTTCATGCGCGTACACAGAATTGATTCCTCTTTTGCATATCCTTGCATCTGAATGAACACATACACACAAAATTATCTCAAAATAACTGTCTCGGCAAGTATTCTCGTAAACACAGTCGGTTATGTCTTAAGTGAACGTAAACAGTGGTGAAAGAAATCTCAAATGCATCATTATATTGGATCCGTGCATTCGGTCTTAAAGAGGCAGCAGCCTATAAATACCTGCTGTTCCATAAGCGCCACCTGCTGTCAGAGAGTGACATTTGCGTCTCATTCACAAAGCTAAAATCAGACCATTCTGTTTTTGCTTCAAATTTCGAAATTATACAATCTAATTGCAATCTAAATAACATTTATTTAGGATCTTCGTTTGGATCATGATTAAAATGTAGTGGTTGCCTCTGATTTTAAATGGAAAAAGCACAGCCAAAGCCTTAGTTTGTTTATATGAAGAGATTTATTTTATTTGTATTATTTAATTGTTTGATACCAGCTACCAGCGATTTTGAAATTTTGCAAGCCCTGTGGTCAATTAATTCCTTGGTGAATTTATTGGTCAATGACAACTAAAAGTGCTACCTAGTTAGGCAGCTTAGCAGGATTTAAAACGCAGGCATTCCCCTTGAGTTCGACTGAGTCACTGTGAGTGAGTGAAACACCCTCTGCACTCTGGGTGTATGTGGAGGACGTGCAAGATGGCATGATTACCATTTACCATCCATTCCAGCGAAAAGGGAGATGATAAAAAGATCTCCAACATAAAAATGATCTCCCACTGATAAATGAGGTAATGAACGTTGAGCCGGATGTTTCTATTGTATGAGTGCTCTCATTGATTTCAGACACAAAATGCATTCCCTGTCATATTTCCAGAGAGGATATTGTGATCTAAACACACACACACAC